TACCAGTAGGTTGGTGGATAATTGTAAATAGTCTAACATGAACCACGATTATGACGTTTATCTATAAGTATATTCTTCTGAAGTAGCTCTGAAGAGCAATCTTTCAATATTCATTATTCTTTCAATTTTACTAAAAACCTATTAGAAAGCTTAACAGTGGTGGATAGACATCCTGGAATTATACTAATTGAAATCAACTGCTTCAGGTGACCACTCAATAGCACTAGGTATCCTATTCAAGACTATAAGTGAGGCACTAATTAGCAATTCTAGAATAACTGCATTCCTATTAACTGAAGATTCTCTAACAGAAGCTACTGTGAAATTTCTTGTAAATATTATTTGCATGATTAACCACTTGTAAAAAGTATGAAAATCCAAAGAGCAGTTTCAACTTTGGCCCTGGAATTAGTTCTTTAGTAGAGTTTTGAGATCATAATAACACAGTTCTCATCAGTGGAGATGACTACATAATCCATTTGGAATTACTTTCTTCAATTAAAAGGTTATATCCTGCCAGATACAGTAGTACACACTTGAAATCCCAGTTACTCAGGAGGCTGAAGGAGCACAAGTTCAAGGCCAGCCTGGGCAACTTGGCCAGAACCTGTCTTAAAATAAAAAATAAAAAGGGCTAGGAATGCAGCTCAAAAGTAAAAGTAACCCCACCTAAGAATATAACTTGCTTAAATTAATTATTTGTGTAAATTTTAAAACTTCTGTACCGTCAAAATACACTATAATATAGACAAATGACAGAATTAAGAGAAAAACAGATGCAACACATACAGGGGTAGTAATTTTTTTAAATATTATTTTTTAGTTTTTTAGGTGGACACAATATTTATTTTATTTTTTATGTGGTGCTGAGGATCGAACCCAGTGCCTCATGCATGCTAGGCGAGCACTCTACCTCTGAGCCACAACCCCAGACCAGGAATAGTAATTTTAGCAATAAAAAAAAAAAATTAAAACAACTAAAAATTAGTAAACTATTGATAGAAAAACTGACAAATAAAAATTAGCTAGCAAGTAAAAACGCAATGAACATAAGATGTTCAACCTAATTACAAAGTAATGACATGTAAGTTAAATTAACAACATACTTCACAGCCTCAAACTGACAAAAATTAAAAGCTGATAGCTTACAATGCATGTAGGTGTGTGCTGACAATAAAGATTACTGTACCTTTTGAAAAATAAAAATTTTAGAAAGTAACAATATGTATGTATGTATGGTACTGGAATTAAATGAAGGGATTCTCTACCATTAAGATATATCCCCAGCCCTTCTTATTTTGAGACAGGGTCTCACCAAATTTCCTAGGCTGGATTCACTTGAAATTTTCAAGTCTCCCAAAACTGCTGGGATCAGAGGCATGCACCACCCCTCAATTAAATAATATATCCTTTGTTTTAGCAATCCCACATACAGAATTTATCCTAGTTAAGGAAAAAAAAATGACATCAATGCAGGAAAAGTTAGACAGACATATAAGAAGAGTTCTTGTTCTTACCATTTGTAATACCAGGAAAGAAAAGGAACCTTAAAGGTGGGGAGGGTTGCAAATTTGAATATCCACTACTGATATAATAGCTTAATAATTTATGACACATTGATACATGTATACTTTGGAATACTATACAGCTATTAGAATATGTCAAATTTATACATACTACAATATGTCTATGTCTACAATATTAAATGAAAATAAGCAAAGTGCAGGGTAATAATGTATACCATGATCTCATATTTGTTCAAAAAAAGAGAGAAAGGAAAAGGAAACTAATAATAAATTTTTTAGAAAGTTCTATTTATGTGCCTAATTTCCTAAATGAATACATACACCTTAGTTTTAAATACACCTACTGATCCATTAGAGGTCTCACCCACAAGATATTATGGTCTGATAATGTCTTTAATCTAGGTACATTAAAGGCTTCATTAGATATCAGCTAATACAATCCTCTGGAATCTTCTAAATGAAAAGATAATAAACAATAAAAACTACTTTTAAGGGAAAAATGTTCAACAGTTTTTTTTTTTGATGCCAAAATAAAATATTTTTAATGTTGCAATTTCAAACATAGAAAACCACCGAAGATCGTCTTCTCTGATAGCAGAAGGTATTTCAGTCATTTCACTGGATAATATGATTATGCTAGTTATATAAACACAAAAAAGGGACAGACATTAAACCAATTTCTTTGTGTAAGAAATTGAATTTTCTCAGAATGATGCTCATTCTTAGCAACAAATGCATTGATATTACAACTTAAAAATTCTATTCAACTAAATCTTAGTATAATATAAAGTTTCAAGCAGCCTGACTTAAAGGAACACTTGATTTGGAACCAGACATACCTGAGTTCCAATCCTGCCACTTACTAGGGATATGGTCTTGGGCAAGTTACATAATCTCCTAGCCTATTCCTGGGGCTGCAAAAATAGTTTTCTGTGGTGTTCTTGGAAAATAAAGAGTATCACAGATGAAAAATGTCTAGTGATAAAGTCTATCACAATATGCCTTCTTCTTGCCTTTCTTTCCAAAGAGGTCAGATTACTAACTGGCAATGTGTTTTTCAGTACCACCTTTTAGAAGACTTGGAAAACAAAAAAGAAAAAAGCAGGCACAGTGGAGTACACTTGTAGTTAGTTACTCAGGAGGCTGAAGGTTGAGGCAGCAAGATCACTCAAGCCCAGGAAACTCTGGTCAGCCTGAGCAATATAAACCACTTTCCCTTTAATTAAAAAAAAAAAAAAATCAAGACTACTAAGCTGATATAAAGTTATACATTCTATATGCCATGTGTTTGCATTTTCCTTTTTGAGGGGAGAGGGAGTACTGGGGATTGAACTCAGGGACATTTGACCACTGAGTCACATCCCCACACCTATTTTTTATTTTATTTAGAGACAGGGTCTCATTGAGTTGCTTCCTATCTCCCCATTGCTGAGGCTGGCTTTGAACTCACAATCCTCTGTCTCAGCATCCTGCATTTTCCTTTGTTTTGTATTTGAGACTCCTTTTCTTGGATTATTTTAGAGATTTATTTCAATGAACGCTTACTATTTTTGATAAAATTATTTATTTTGATTCATACTTACTTATTTCTGGTGAAATTTTCCTTAAAAAAAAATCGTTAAGCAAGCACATTATGTTCTACCTGTTGCATTCTACATCTCCAAATAACTTTCTTTTTAAAAGCATTCATGTTGGGTCTGTAGAAACCACTTTCAAATATTATGGGGGAAAAAGTGTTAGGTAAGGCCTTAAGTCATTTTAACCCACTAAAATGTGTCTAAGAAATTAACACCGCAGAATTCTAAATAGCAATACAAAAAAATTTTAACTTTCAAGTACTTCTAAGAGGAGACAATTTTTTTCCATGACTGGATGACACTAAATGGATCCAAATGCAAAGAAAAGCATACTGTCCAGCTTCTAATATTTAAAGTGAAGATTTTTCATGACACAAGACACATATTAATAAAATCAACAGAATTAACTCATTGTATTATTAATTAATTTTATTTTATTAGGTAAATAAATTGAATAATTTCAAATTATACTATAGAATTGAGGATTTACAATATTTTAGCCTTTTTCATATTTAGTTGAACTTCAATCAAATTTATTTGATGATTTTTGATACAATGCTCTTTAAAGTGTCTTCTAGTCTCTTGCAAAAAGTCTATCAAAATTGCAAACAGCTACTATATGGAAAATTACAATTATTTCCCAGTACATTTTTCCTAAAAAAAAAAAAAAAAAATTAATCACCACCCACAACAGTTTCTGGCTGTTTTCCATATTTACTCCTTTGTTTAAATTACACTGCTGAAAGTAATTTTTTACTTGCTTTTCAAAACGTGTTTAAGTTGATGGTGAGGTGAAAGAGTATGCAAAAACCACTTCACATTATTTTCACACATGCAAATTACAACTTCTTGAGGTGATTTTAAGTGCCATATACATTTTCAAATCAAAATTCATCACTGTCATTCTTTAAAACTCCCTTTCCATCCTGAGCTCTTCCAAATGTCAAAGTTCTCTACTAATCGAGAGTACCTATAATCCGTTCTTTCTACTGGTCTTTCACAATTTTACACTCCAGCTTTTTGTATTTCAGAGCCCTTCGCCCATAAAAGCACCACTAACTGTTTAAGGTACTTAACTGTACAGTTAACTTTCCGCATTATCTTACTTTTCCTTTCATAAACTTCACTATAATTTCCTTTCAGCTTTCCTTCATCTTCTAAATTCACATCAATACTACCGCGAAGTAAAGCGTATATACAACCCTATCAGGAAGCCCAAATTAATCATTCAGCACAACTAATAATTTAAATACCCGGATGCCTCATTTAGGTACTCGGTGGAAGCTTTTTACTTGATTTCCTGTCCTACCAGGCCAGCCTGCCTCCAGCGTTAATTGTAAGATCCCTTGGTGCCCCTAGCACAAGTGCAATTCGCTATAGTGTATTTCTTTTTACTCCCCACCATTCCTGGTGTCTCCTTCCATTTCTGCGCATCTTAGTGAACCTCCCCCCACCCACGTTGTCCCCGAAATTCTGTACCTAGGTGTCCATTTCTCAAATTAGAATACTCCTCGCCTGATATTGGCGGGGCTTGGTTGTACTACTTCTAAGAGAACGCGCGAGCAGTTCTCTCTCCTCCAGAAGCACCCGCTCCCCACTGAGTTCGGTCCTCTCTAGCTCGCTCTCCTTGGAATGCCTACTTCGGGGCAACCCCTTAGCTCCAAGAAGCCCAATCTTGCAACCTCTGCCCCTTGACCTGGAGCCCAGCCGGCTACTCAAGCTAATTCACCTAGTTCTTGGAGCTTGTGCTCTCGATGCCCCCAGTCCCAGCTCTCCTTGAAACCTCTCAGCTCCGAAGCCAGACCCCAGATTAGATGAAAGCCCGCTGCTCCAGTTGCAGTGCCTCCCCGGCCGGCCCCTTCCACACCACTCAGCCCATAGCGGCTCGGCTCCTCACCTAGCTTCGACCGGGACTCCTCCAGTTTCTGAATCTGGTTCTCCAAGAAGAGCATCGCTACCGCGAAGGCCACCACCGCCAGCAGCTGCAACTTGGGCGGCATCATAATCCTGAGGAGCCCCATGAAACCCGCTGCTCGGGATCAAGACATACCGCGGGGGGCGGGGAGCGGGGCCCCGGAGGCGAGGGAGACGCCGGGAGGAGTCCACGGAGCCGGGAGAGAGGCGAGGAGAGCGCCACAGGGAGAACCACCGCAGCGACCCCCCTTCTCGCCACTCGGGTCCCCCGCCCCCAGGCGCCAAGCACCAACGTCGCCGGTGCCCGCTTCTCCACAGCCGCCCCCTCCAAAAGCCCGCGCAGCAAACAGCGCGAAGCGGCTGCCGGGTGCTCTACAGCCTCAATCCCCGACCCCCACGCCCGCCTGCTTGCCCGCCCGCCTCCTTCTCTTCGTTCTTTCCCTCCCTCCTTTGCTCGCGGCCGCGCGTTCCTCCACCAGCGCTGCGGCTGCGACTGCGCTGCCCTCGGCCCCGCCCCCTCCCATCCCCCTCCGCCAACTCGCGCACGCATCTACGTACGCTGCTCGGCAACCAGAGGCCCCGCCCCCTCCTCCCATTCGGTAGTGGGCATTGGCCCGAAGAACCCCAGTGTTTCGCTGTCGATTCGGTTTACGGTTGAATTCTTCTGCCACAGGGCTCACCCAAGACGGCATTCCATTGGGTGAACCTAGAGAAGGAGGCTGGACTGAAACTGGCGAAGGCGGGGTTTCTTGGCTTCTCGACGAAGTGTCGTGAATGAAAGGATGGAGCCCGGAGAAGCGCAGAAGTGGGAAGTTTAGGAAAATGCCTGATTTGAGTAATTGAAAGGAGACAATAACTGTCTTTATATTTGATTACCTTTAACCTTTCATATGTCTTTAGTTAATATTTGTCTCTTCAAAATAAGAGATTTGATGGCAGCGGCCTTCCGTGGCCTTTTTTCGATCAGGCTCTGAAGTGGATGCCCCTAGCCGAGGGGTCCTCTGGGTAGCCAGAGATTTACGATTGATGATAGCGATGGCGGCTGGGCGAGGTGGATGGCTTGGGCCAGCTTTTGGGCTGAGGTTGCTGTTGGCTACTGTGCTTCAAGTGGTGAGTGTAGGTCACCTCTGCGACCGCCTTAGGGCGAGTAGGAGGGATTACTAATGAGGAAGACAAAAATATTCGGTCCGGTTCGGGGGCCTCACTTAAGAAAAGGAGGGGGGCAGTTTGGGCTTCCTTAGAACAGTGGCCGGAATGCGACGTGGCTTAATTCCCGGTTGAGTTTGTAGAGGCCGTCTTCTCCCGACAAGTCTTGGGTGGTTTTCTCTTACGTAGCTCTAGCTAAAAAGGATCACGGTGGGGAGGGGAAGCAGTAAAGCTTGGGAAAGAGTAAAGGTTTTTTTTATTATTATTTTTTAAAGTAGGCAGAAATGCAAGGAACTTACTGCAAGGCTCTAAAATCTTAAAAGGAAAAACCAGCAGGATTTTGCTAACGGTGAACACCTTCTATTACTTTCTCTTTCAGACTCTACTCCTGCGTCCTCGCGTATACACCAAGCAGTGTAATCAATATTTTTTTTATTTTTTTCCATTAACAAAGTACGTGAGTTCTTAATCTTTGACGACCCAATTTTTACTTATTTTATTGCTTACATAACAACTAGACATTGGCTAATTCCTCAAAGAAGTGTACATGAATAATGAAACTTAAGGCACTGTTCTGGCGAATTTGGTATTTATTATTTCAGTTTAATTCTTAAGGCATTCTCTACTGAGCCTGCTGAAAAGTTTTCTCCTAGGACAAAACTTTCTTTTATCCAAGGTTTGTGGAAGTTGGTCACCACTTTGTTTGACCCAGGAATTTGGAAGCAACTTCCTGGGTTTTGCTTTTGCCATCTTGAGGAAAAGGTGGATTCTTCTCTAATTAACAGTCCATTACAATACTTTTATTCAGGCATTTTGGTGCTTTAAAATTACTGAACATTGTTCCCTGAACTTTGTACTCTTCAAGGTTTTTTCCCCATCTTAGGTCATTTTAATTCATCCTCATCACCACAGAAGGATAAAAAGGAATATTTCAAGCTTCCTTCTCCCAATTCACCATCTCTGGCTTTCAGTTAGCTGTGGCTGTGTAACTGTCCTCCAAATGTTAGTGGTTTAAAAACAATGATTTTGCACCATTCTGTGTTTTCAACTAGTAGGCTAGTAGAACTGAACAGTTTGAGGGTCATCATCATTCATAGTTGGTGCTGTCAGCTGGGACCACTTTGTTCTTCTCTGTGTGAGCTATCATCCTCCAAAAGCTAGACCAACTTTTTTTCCCTTTCATTCTCTTGACTGTGCTCCAAAATAGCAAAACCTTAAAATGCCTCCTTGGCTTGCCTTGGAAATCACATGTATCTTTTCCACCATGTAGTACTTGTTAAAGTAAGTCACAAGACCAGTTTACTTTTCAGGAAATAAACTGTCTATGTAGGAAGAGTGTCAGAGTCACATTTCAAAGAAGAATACATACTCATATAGGAATTTATGGCCATTGAACAATGTACCACAGAGTGACCTTCACAAAATCCAAGCCAAAAATTGGTCCATTTGAATTCACTTTCCTTTCACTCTGAATCCAGTTAGTAATAAAGTCCTTAAATCTTTATAGCTGTTTTGTGTAGAAAGTATTGCTCATTGCTTTATCAATGAGGAAATTAATGCAGGGAGGATAGCTTGCCAAAGTCACACATCTTGTAAATAGTGAAGCTGGTACCTAAAACCAAAAGGTTTGATTTCTAATGTGTTCCTACTTCCCCTACCCCATCTCTTTTCTTATCCTTCTCCTGCTGAATACGTCTGTAGATAAGTTAATATTATTTCATATAGTCCACATAAACAGGTGCTAAGCTCTTAAACAGGAATTATTTTTTCCTTACAAGGAAATTCCTTTTTAAAAACTAGTAAATGTTTATTAGAAGATATGTGATACATGTGTCATGAAAATGATGTATCTTGCTGGGCACAGTGGCACACAACTGTAATCCCAGTAATTCTGAAGGCTGAGGCAGAAGGGTGGCAAATTCAAGGCCTGCCTTGGCAATTTAGCAAGACCCTGTCAAAATTTTTAAAAAGGGCTCGAGATACAGCTCAGTGGTAAAATGCTCCCAAGTTCAACCCCCCACCAAAAAACTTATATTTATATATATATATACACACACACACATTTGTCTACGGTTTTGCTAAATTAAAAAAGTGTTCAATTTATAAGAAGAAAGCTGTAGGAGAGATGGGAAGAACCAAAAACTCATGTAGGGTTATAAAGTTCAAAACACTGAAAAACTTTACACCAGTTAACATTTCAGTAACTCATCTCCAAGCGTAACTTTATTACGCTTTAATAACACCATTAACCTCTTTTTGGAAGTTTTATAATGTAAATGTAGAATTGTGATTTATTCCTCATCTGTATTTTCAGGTGTCTGCTTTCAGGGCAGAATTTTCATCAGAGGCATGCAGAGAGTTAGGCTTCTCTAGCAACTTGCTCTGCAGCTCATGTGATCTACTTGGACAGTTCAACCTACTTCAGCTGGATCCTGATTGCAGAGGATGCTGTCAGGAAGAAGCTCAATTTGAAACCAAAAAGGTACTGCTTTCTATTATACCTTTTCCATTAGATGGTTTAGTTGGGATAACTTGACTAAATTGCTTAATACACTTAAGCATAAAGAATTTTCTTACCTTTGCCTGGCTCACTAGCACAATCAAAGTCATTATAAAGGAAATGTATGGTTATATAATGGGTTCCTATTCGTTTTCCATTCAGCAGACAGGGGAACAGAGTCACGATAGCATGCCCGGATCCCATTCCTCTCCAGTCAACTTCTGACCAAATGAAGACACAAGAATAATCAGTTACATACTTTTGTGCATTTGCAGCAAGAAGTCAGTTTTATGATGAAATTTGATATGAAAGCAAGGCACATGATGTAGGCAATAAGTTATAATTCTAAATGTGGTTAAGAAGGCTGAGGATATAGCTCAGTGGTAGAGCACCTGCAGCATTTGTAAGGCCCTGGGTTCAGTCCTCTGTATCACAAAAAAAGGAAAAAGTGCTTAACAATCTTTTACTTACATACCCATTATTAATAATTCTGAATACCTAGACTTACTTTAAAATTTGAAAACTGAGTCAAGGATAGGTAGTTCTATCCAACAGAATTTTTGTTTTGAGTGTACTGTTCAAACAAATAGTGAACTTGCTCAAGTTTTAAATCTTTTCATTAAAATCCTTAGATTTCTTAAAATTTTAAAGTAGTCTGAAAAGATCATTTGTTTTATCCAAATAAAGCTGATTTGGGGTTAGGTGTGGTGGTATACATCTATAATCCCAGCGGCTCAGGAGGCTGAGACAGGAGGATCATGAGTTCAAAGCCAGCCTCAGCAAAAGCAAGGTGCTAAGCAACTCAGTGAGACCCCCGTCTCAGAAATGAAATACAAAAATGGGGCTGGGGGTATCGCTCAGTGGTCACGTGCCCTTGAGTTTAATCCCCAATATTCCCCCCAACCCCCACCAAAAGAAAAAAAAAGGAAAAGAAAAAACTGAATTAGTGATTGGTGGCATAGCTCAGTGGTAGAGTGCTTGCCTGGCATGCACAAGGATCCATGTTCAATTCCCTGCACTACTCCTCCACTAAAAAAAAAGATCTCTGGGTTGAGGAAATATTTATCATCTTTCTACTAAGTTTCCTCTTAGTATTCTCTTTCACTTGTATATGCTGAATTTTATTTAAGGTGTTCATTTATATAACTTTGAAACAGGATATTTTCTCATGATTAGATAGTTATGGTTTATTTCTAACATTAAATACATTTTTGTAGTTCTAAAAGAAAAACAAGCAGCCAGGCACACACCTATAATCCCAACTACAACGAAATCTAAGGCAAGAGGATCATAAGTTCAAGTCCATCCTGGGCAACCTAGTGAGATACTCTCTCAAAATAAAAGAGAAAAAGAGCTGGAAATACAGCTCAGTGGTAGAGCATTCCAGAGTTCAATCCTCAGTACTGCAAAAAAAAAAAAAAAAAAAAAGACAGGCCAAGGAGCTTTTTAAATGTAAGTATTCAGTCCAGCCAAGAGTTAACATGTGACTTCTCAGTTTCTCAGTATCATAAACCTGAAATTCTCAGTGTCCCGTAGATTCCGCTTGATGTTTAGATTCACATAGTTTATATTTAGATTTCCATATATGTAAATTACTCTTTATTGCATATAAATAAAATCTAAATAACAAGTATTAAAACTTGATTTTAAATACATTTAAAACAGGATTTAGCTTTAGATGAGATACCCATATGGACAGATTATTTCTTGTTTTCGTACTCAGACTCAGTAAACAGAGTTAGGATAGTAGACATGCTTTTTTCAGAGGTGGCTCCAGCTTCAGCTTTAGCCCCCAGCTTCAGCCATTTAACACCCAGTCTTTTCTCTAGGCGCTTTTATATGCAGTCTCAACTAAAGAAGACACACTGCCAACAGTTTACGTAAGGGGGCACATGTTGACAAGTTAACTTTTATGACCTTGAGTATATAGGCTGAATCAGTGTGGTTTGGGACTTGACTAACCCTAACAGCCAGTTCCTAGCCCTGACTACACACTAAAAACATAATAGCCTGCTGGAAACTTCAGCAAAGGGAGCCTAAAACTATAGCCATTTGGGGCCTGACCCAACATTACTGAAAGAAACTTTTTGAGTTATCATCTCTTCCTTGTTCTATGGACCATACTACTCAGTGATTATTCATCAGGACCCTAAATTTATAACAAACCATCTGTCTCCCCCCACATTCCCTTAAAATTAATGGCAAATTGAGAAGTTCTACCCTTTGATATACAGTATGTCTAAGCTATAAAACAAGTGCATATAAAAACTATTTATTGTTTTTTTCTCAGTACTCCTTCATATACTCAGGTTTTATGTGGTAGTTTTAGTGAAATCAAATTTAGATCACATGGTTTTAAAACTAATTATATTATTCAATTTTCATTATTAATTGAGCTATATGTTGTATCTAGATACCTTTCAACAATAACAAAAGGCAAGTAGTCTGCCAGTTACTATATGTCAAACTAATTACAAGCTAAAGTATTTAATGTCTAAAAACAAGTGAGTCTATGTCCTAATAATTATTTTGTGTTAAACCTTGTGTTTTTTTCCCTTTATTCCTAACCCCTAGTCTCCAAGACATATTTCTTTTAATCATTTAGTAGTACCTTTTGTACAAAAATTAGTGATTTTTTTTTTTTTAATAACTCTAGTGGAACCAACAGAAAAAACACTTAGAATTATGCTGCAAGTATGAACATACAACATGTTGGGCAAGCCTCCATTTAAAAGCAAACCACTTTCAAAAATAATTATACTTGATTTAATATGTGTAGTACTTCTCCAATTATTGACACTTGATCATAGGTAACAGAATACATATAATAAATATTCTTCTATTTCACACAGGCTTAAGGCTTAATTTTTAAGTAATAATTGAATTTAGTCCTCACTTAATCATAGTAAAAATCTGTAGTATATAATCCTAGTGTCTTATATCAGAAATGCTAAAAAATACTTAAACATGTCTCTCTGTGTGAATCATTGAGAATATAATTTTTTAGAAGAAAAATTATAGTTTACATAAGAATGTTTTAGCCTGTTGTATTATAAATAAATGTAACTAGAATTTTTGATTCTTACATAGTTGAATGCACTGAAGGTCTACCCAAGGATAAGGCCTATCATTTTTAGTAATGGTCACTCATTTTACAGTTTCAATTTAGCCTTTGGTAGCCGGCAGCATAAAATTGTTGAAAAATATATATTCCTAATAAAAGCGTAAACTGTCCAAAATCCTTTATCATTCTTCCAGTAGATATTGCATTATTTTTTTAATTTGATCTTCTTCTCTTCCCCATTTTGATCATAAAGGACCTACTTTACCATAAAGGATCTACATTTCATATACTACTTAGAATGAAGTTTTGTGTGGGTTTTGTTGTTGTTGTTGTTGTTATGGGGCATTGAACCTAGGGACTCTTAACCACTGAGCCACATCCCAAACCTTTTTGAGAAAGGGTCTCACTAACTTTCTGAGGCTGGCTTTGAACTTGCAATCCTCCTGCGTAAGCCTCCCAAGCTGCTGGGATTACAGGTGTACACCACCACATCTCTCTAGAATGAGATTTTTGTTAATCTATTTTACTATTGTTTTAACTAGTTTTGCTCACAAGTACATGCCTAGGTATGGTTTGTAAACAATAATAAGATTATTAATTATAAGGAAAAAAACAATTTGTAGCTTAAAGAAAAAATGTAAACTAATAAAAGTATTTGAATTTTAGTGCTATTTCTGTACATTTAGTGTTATGGATTGGATGTGAGTTGTCCCCAAAAGTTCATGTGTGAGGCAATGCAAGAAGATTCAGAGGAGAAATGATTGGGATTATGTGAGCTTTTAATCCAATCAGTGAATTAATACCTTGATGATATTAACTGAGTGATAACTGAAGGCCCGTTAGGTTGTGACTGGAGGAGGTAGATCATTAGGGGCATGCCTTTGGAGTATATATTAGGTATATGGCAAGTGGAGTCTCTTTCTGCTTTCTGATCATCATTCGAGGTGCTTCCTTCCACCACCTTTAGCCCTGAGGAATGGAGTTGGTTCTCTATGGACAAACCTAAAACCGTGAGCTCCCAAATAAACTTTTCCTCTTCTAAAATTGTTCTTTTCAGGTCTTTTAATCACAGCAGTGAAAAAGCTGACAAAGCAGTATGTACTAAGTCTCATGACTTCAGATTTCTATGAAGAATCTGAAGATGGAAGGGAAGGCATCAAAAAGATACCCAATCCCATTGAGTAGAGTTCTTCCCATTGATCTTATATTTGAACTTCTTGACCAACAATCTTAACTGCCTGGTTTAGAGAAAGAAGTGAATGTTTTGACACATGAACTCCAGAGTTGAACAACAACACTAGAGGAGGAGACAGTTAGAAATCAGAAACAGACTGTATCTTGCAGTCTGTCTCTTAGTTTTTGCTTTTACACATTCTTTACTTCACTATTGCCTGGCTTTTTCCCTGAGGTAAGAAAAGAAGCTGCATCATACAGCTTCTTCCTCTGGAAAAGGACTAATTCTTCCTTGTTTACATTTTTTAAATATTTTCGGCAAGGACCAGTTATTGCCTGAGTTATTTGTTAGATTATGGAATAATGAAAGAAGCTATTAACTTCTCCAGTAGTTGAATGAATGGATTGGTGCACTAGGAAACAACAGATGAAGCAGTTCTCAGGTATATCTCTTGTTTTGCTTTCCTTTTTTCCCAATAAATATACTCTTTGAAGTCTAAGACTGTTTTATGATGTGTTTCTGAATTGCCAGCCAGTAGCACACATAATTTCATTAGTTTTTGTCCTAAAATAGGCTGATTTTACTAAAAACAAGTTAGAAAAGGTGATTTTTAAACTTATGTTAAAATATGCTAGAATTTTGTAATTGCTTCATAAATACCTTTTCATATGTTTCATTTACATAACCTGAAAGATATTTAAAATTTTGAAAGAACAAGAAAATTTGTCTCCATATTGGCAGTTA